AGATTCATAGATACATAGGATATTTATTGCCACATAGTCGCAGTGTCCAGCAGTCACATGATTGCCATTTGCAACCTCCTACTGGCTTCCCCATTGACTTTGCTTGTGGGAAGCTGGCAATGATCGTAAATGGCAATCGTGACCATGGGATGCTCTGACGTCATAATTGCGAGCCTGTTGCCGAATGCCCAGATTGCGATCATGTGACCACAGGGACACTGTGATAGCCGCAACTACAAGGACCCCTCATTCAGTGCTGTTGTAACTTCTAATGGTGTAGTCATTCAGTGAGGACAACCTATTAGGAGGACAGGGCAAAAATGTTTATTTCTAACAAAAAATATTTGACTGTGAATTTCCAATACAATGGCATTAAAACACAATTCCAGGTAAGGTTCCTCCTCCTGCAGTCAGCTAAGAAAAATATATGCTAAAATTAGAATGGAAAGAATGGAAGAAAAAACACAGCAAATAATATATGCTATATAAAATGAGAAAAATAGAGACCTTTAACTATAAGTGTAAGGGACTAAATAGACTCTGTCTTTGAACAACAGTGCAGTGATGTTAATGGCCTCCAAATTAGTTAGTAAAATAAAATCTCAGATGAACCTGCATGGTATCCCTGTAGAAGAAGCTATTCTTAATTCTACAATGTTGTGAATATACATGGGAGGTAACCTGAAAAAGTATTTACAAGGCTTACATGGCGCAATTCCAGGATATATTCAAGAATCATACAGCTGTACACAGACTCACTTTCCATCTTGTGTGACTTTGTTGCTACAGTGACACCTACTGGCAGGCAGTTCAAAATACACCTAAAGGAGACCATGAACTCTTAATTCAGTTTTCACATGCCAGAGGTTTCCTCACTTCATAAATCATATATTGGGGAAAACTGAAAAAGTTGAAGAGCTGAATTTATGTTGTTTGCCCTGCCTGCCAATATCTGTCCCTGCCAGGTCTTTCAAGAGGAAAGATGGCTTGGCTTCATAGTTTAGATTCCCCCTCTCAGGCATGGCTTGGATTTTTCTCTGTGTAACTGGATATTATGCACATGGTATGAAAAAAAAAATACGGAGGGTGGGAGGTGCACGCATTTTAAAAATTTTCTTTTTGCATGGGACAGAGGTTGGAGGGGGTTTTGTTATAGTACTCTAAAACGTGACAGACTGGGAAGGGACAATCATTAAGTTATTTTCACTCCTCGTTATTTTAAGGTATGTGGAAATTTATTTATTTATTTAGCAAATTTATATGACTGCTATCTCACTGAACGTGACTCTGGGCGGTATACAACAATTAAAACACTATCACAATCATTAAAACACCTAAAACAATAAACATAATAAAAATAAATAAAAAACAAGATTGGGGGAGAATAACAGCCATCTAAGCACAATACAACCAAACATAAATCATATTCAAAGTGTTCTGAGGAACTGAAGAGCAGACATGATAGAATGGAAGTGCCCCATGATTAGGGATACAAAGCATAAGCCACAAAAATATGGCTTTTACTGATACTTCTACTAATACAGCAAACTTAATAGTGGACATTGAGAGAGGGTGAGCAAGTTTGTTCATTCTTCTAGATTTCAGTGACTTTCAGTATCATTAAGCTTCATGTTCTCCTTCACAGGCTGGCCATGTTTGCCATACACCTTAGTTAGGTGCTCCTCCTACTATCTGGAAGGTTAATTCCAAATTCTTGGAGTGGAATATTTTCCAGGCCCATAACATAATGCCATGGAGTTTGGTAGGATTTCATCTCCTTCTGTTTAAACATGGACATGAAACCGTCTGCTAAGGTCACACAGATATTTGGAGTTATGCAGCATCAATGCACTGAGGACACCCATGTCTACTTCTCATATATATACTACTTCAGAAATACTTAAAAAAAAAAGAACCTAGGTTCTGGACAAGGACCAATAAACTGGCCTCCATTCAACCAAGACCAAAAATTATAGTTGGTAGAAAATTGGCCTTATGGTCAATGGCAACTCAGATAGTTCAATGTAATTCTGCACTTCTCATGAAGATTCAAGCTCATATTTGATCCTGTATCACTGCTAGAGAGTAAAAAGGGCTTACTAGATGTGCTAGATGCAGCTCCGTATCAGATTACATGGTACTATCTTTGACAATGTTCTGGAAACATCAAGTAGAATCCTATCACAAGTTAAACAGCATCCCATGGTATATTGCTGATCCATTTCCAGATCCAGTTTCAAGTACTGCTGCTAACTTTGTAAATCCTAAACAACCTGGAATTAGGGGATTTAAGGATTATCTTATCCCACTTGGGCATACTCAAGATCATCATCTCAAGCTCCTGTAAGGCAAACAAAGAGGAAAGGACTGTGATGTCAGGTTTATTAGATCCAATTCTTCTGTCTTTTTTATAGTTGTTTTAATACATATTAGATGAAACTGATTTTAATCTGAGTCAGCTTTTAAACTTACACTCTCTATTAGTTATTGTTTGTTGTTGATTGTTTTGACTTTGCTTTTATTCTGAGGACATCTCTGCGTGAGATGTTGGGAACCTGGCATTTGCACAATAGCTGGTTTTGACAACTGAGATAGTGGTTTTTGTAGTGGGTCTATATTGTAGTTTATCTGGCACTAGAGCAAAGCTGATGCTTTCTTGCAACACTGCTGGGCTTGTGGATGGTTCTTCCAATTGGTAAGAATTCTTGCCCTTGCCTTTTGGTCTCAGGGTGACCATTACTCTGTCTCTTTTCCCAACCCAACCCAGAGTTTCAACATTCTGTTTTTGGGACCTGTTACAAACAATGGGCCTTTCCTTACTCTAATCCAGGAGTAAGTGCTCTCTGCCACCCTTGAATTAGGAGAAACCTATACTGGCATGACACGCACTGCCCCAATTGCCAATTTCTGTCCTGCCTCTATTGCATCTGTTTTGATTCACTGCCAATTAGTGGGGTGTTGATTTTATGCGTGCAGCACACGATAAGCAAAATGCTTGGATGAGTCACCCAACTTTGTCATCCTTTATTTTATGCATCTCATGAGCAGGGAAAAACACATCTGCAAAGCATGGGACTGCAACAAGGACGGGATGCATCTGGTTGTCATCTCTAGGTGACTTCCTATGCTCCTCTTTCTAAACCTCGACTTCTGTCATGATTTCATTGAAATAACTTTTTTTTTTTTAATTGCTCCTTTATGACTTCAAACTGAGTTACCTTTTCTTAGGACTTCTTTCCCCCTTCCTTTCTTTACATAGACAACAAATGCTGGTTTCTAGCTTTCTCTGCACTCTGTTCTGCAGGCAATGGAAGGTGAAAGTGGGGTTGATCCTATCATTCCACTGTTTCACCATTTCTGCCTTCTGTTAAACAGGTATGTACTTCCTGGGCTGCTGATAAAGCAGCCTTGCGTTACTCAACAATTTTGACAGATCACTGGGACAGCGCTGCTATATTTGGTGCTTTGGAGAGACCACAGTGCAATGGTGGCCAGTGAGCCAGATCAGGACCCACTGAGGAGAGGGGTGCACCCATGTAAGTCTGAAAGGGGAAACTGGCACCACTTTGATCCCATCCACCAGCAGTCACCTGATTTCACCTATAACTTAATGAATGAGAATCCATAACAAAGTTTAACACACTTTGAGACTGTCACCGGATGCTCTTCGGCTTAAGAGGAAAATGACCACTTTCACATCATGATAGTTCCTCTGTTATGGGGATATGACAGAAAAAAAAGATACTTAGCTACAAATAGGGAAAGGCCTCTTCTTCTGCCACTGCAGCAATATGTAGCCATGTTATAACTATTCAAGAGAGTGATTGGTGGCAAAATTGCCAAGATGCTCTCATTTCATCCTCACAGTTTTCAAAAGGCTTTTAGCAGCAGGAGGAATGCCAGCTTTGGAATCAGACATTTCCCCCTTACCACCACCAGTAGGTTTTGTTTGACTGTGTTTGCAAAGAAAGAAACAAATGCATACAACATGAATTAAAAATACAGATTGGGGCAGGGCACTAGCACTTTCTTTTACCTCCCTTTTGTGTGGGATGGTGGTGGGAGGAGGACTGGCAGCTGCTCAGAGGGAGGGGCCTGACTGACATCATTCTTTGTATTCTCTTATTAGTCACCTGGAGGGAACCTGGTGGGCTCATAGCAAGCTCTGTATGTTCTTAAGTGGTTGGTAGTCAGCAGAGCCTATTCCACCAACCTTTTTGTTTTATAAGTGCCCATACCCTTATGACAACCCTTAGTAAACAGGCTCTTTAAACCTTTAGAACAGTGTTTCTCAACCTTGGCAACTTGAAGATGTGTGGACTTCAAC